GCAAAAGGGTATTGGTCTTCTAATCACTCAGAGGCTGAGCGGCAAAGATCTAGAGATAAGTTCAAGGAAAAATTAAACTTTATGGTCGAAAAATATTTTATGGATGCAGATGATGACTACGACCAGGAAACTGATGAATTAAGACGGGAAATAGATACTTTAATCATTGATGCAACAAATGAGCATTTCGAGGATGATAAAAATGAAGTAGAGCAATTTTTTATGTCATTTGGACCAATTGATGATGTAACAGCAAAACATATGATTGCGGATTTAAACAATCAATCATTTCATCACGCGGTATCGGGATCACAACAGCACGGGGCCACAAAAGACCCGTTCACCTATATTGCTGGGTGACCATACACCTCATCAAGTTTCTTTGGCGTCATGATTGATACCGGAGCTTCTGAATGCTCTACTGCTGGATACGGGCAATTAATGGCGTTGAAGAAGCTAATTAAAATAGACATGGACACTGTATTAGCTGGCAGAGTCAACGTCCAGTTTGGCATCGGAGCTACCTCATCAGTCGGGTCAATTGACTTGTCGACCCAGATTGGGGTGATCAAATTCCATGTGATACATGCTGATACCCCATTTATTTTATGCCTAAAAGATATGGATGCCATGCAAGTATACTTCAACAATACAAATGATACGCTTGTACAAGGGAATAGAGAATACCCTGTATTACGAAAATTTGGACACCCGTTTATGCTACTACCATTTTGCGCAACAAGCTCAACATTTCTCAACACTAACAAGTTGAGACAACTTCATAGACAATTTTGGCATCCGTCTGTGAATCGACTGGCTCGAATACTTGAAAGGTCAGGCCACGAAGACCAGAGTCAAAGTCATTGCAGGCTACTACAACATATCACCAAACTATGTCATTTCTGCCAGAAATATGGGAAATTACCAGGGAGATTCAAGTTTAATATCAAAGGAGACATTGATTTTAACCATAGTATCATTGTTGACGTGATGTATATTAATGGTGACCCTGTTCTGCATATAGTTGACAAAGCAACAAGATTTCAAGCTGCACGTTGGATTAATAATCTAACAACATCTGCCACTTGGAATGCAATCAGACAATGTTGGATTGATGTTTACATAGGGCCACCCGATATAATTGTACATGATTCGGGTACAAATTTTAATTCAGAGGAATTCTGACAGTCATCTAGCTCAATGGGGATTGTTACTAAATGTGTACCGGTAGAAGCGCACCACTCAGTTGGGTCAGTTGAAAGATATCATGCGCCTCTCCGCCTTGCCTATTTTATCATTTCCGAAGAATTGAGTAATGAAGGCAGTTCAAAAGCTCAAAAAGAACTGATGTTGCAGATGGCTGTGAAAGCAGTGAATGATACTGCTGGTCCCGATGGATTAGTTCCAACTCTACTTATTTTTGGCGCTTATCCACGGATGATACCAATTGACCCACCTGCCCCATCTATCATTCAACGCCGAAAGGCAATTCAAAGGGCAATGAATGAAGTATCAAAGCTTAAGGCCAAAAGACAGGTCACTGAAGCACTAAGACAACGGAACAGTCCATGTATTAACCAGATACACGAGCAGCACATCGGATCAGACGTCTTGGTATGGAGAATCCATGACCAAAAGTGGCAAGGACCGTATCAATTAGTCTCAATCAATGATGAATCATGCACTGTGAATCTTCCATCTGGCCATACGCAGTTCCGATCAACTGCAGTAAAACCGTACACTGGTGATAATACGCCCTGTGAACTTACTGAGGAAGTACCTATGCAGAGTGAAGCTCGCCGTAACCCATCACGGAGTAGGAGAATCCCTTCCCGCTACCGTGAAGCAATACTAACAAAGACTCTTACACTGAATAAGGAAGGACTCATCTCAACTGAAAAACCAACAAATTTTGAGGACTCTCGGCGCAAAGAAATAAATGGATTACTGGAGAATGGCGTTTTTGAAATAATTAACGAAAAGAATGTTCCCAAAGGCTCACAAATATTTAAAACAAGATTTGTCAATGAAATTAAGCATGAAGGTACGCATGAAGCCTATCACAAATCTAGACTCGTGGTACAGGCATACAAAGATACAGGAAAACGGGAGATACTCACTCAGGCACCTACTATCCAGCGAGCATCACAGAGACTTCTTTTATGCCTGGCAATGACAATTCCTGACATTAAAATTGCACTTCGGAATATCTCACAGGCCTATACACAGTCAAAGACACAACTAATGCGCGATATCTACGTCAAACTAGTCTCTGAACTAGGTATGCCATCGGGCATATTGTTGCGCGTAATTCGCCCACTATACGGTATACCGGAAGCAGGTACTCATTGGTTCAACACTTATCATAAGTATCATATAAAGAAGCTTGGGATGATAACATCTACATTTGACACATGCCTGCTCCACACTAAAACTGAGGCCTCGGATTATAACACCTTTGGCATAGTAGGACTGCAGACTGATGACACCTTGATTGTAGCAAATGAAGCATTTTAGAAATGAAACAAAAAGAGATTGAAAAATCTCGATTGTTACATTAGCCATTAGAAACTCTCAGTGAAGATCGGAGCATCAATTTTAATGGCGGTATCCTAACTATGTTAAACGGCAAGATAAAAATTAGTCAACAACAAGCTGGGCGAATAAAAGAAATAAGTACTGATATGCCGGCAGAATACTTGAAAGCTCATTTTGTTGCACAAAGGGCACGTGGCGCGTATGTGGCAACTATGTCACAGCCTGAAGCTAGCTTTGCACTCTCACAGGCAGCACAGGCCACTCAGCCTACAACCGATGATGTCAAATCTCTTAATAAATGTCTAGCATGGCAGATATCAAATAAGAAAAATGGTATTAAATTTGTCAAACTTGACATCAAGTCAATCAAAGTGGTTGTCTTCATGGACTCAGCTTTTGCCAACAACACTGATTATTCGTCTCAAATTAGTTTTGTTATTGTGCTTGCTGATGATAAAAATCATGCCAATTTAGTGCACTGGACTTCTATCAAATGTCGTCGTGTTACACGCAGTATCCTAGCGGGTGAACTATATGGACTTGGACACGGATTTGATATGGGATCAGTTATTAAGGCCACAACTGAAAAGATACTTAAACCATGGCATCCTAGCCCAGTTCCCATGATCATATGTACTGATTCACAGTCAATTTTTGATTGTATTGTCAAAATGGGAACCACACACGAGAAAAGATTGATGATAGATGTTATGTGTCTGCGCGAAGCATATGAGCGTCGAGAAATAACTGAAATTATGTGGATACCAGGAGATAAAAATCCAGCTGACGCAATGACAAAAGAAATGGGCAAATGTTGCAAGGCACTAAGAAACTTGACCCAAAATAACTTGATTGAGCTAGAGCCTAATGGATGGGTTCAAAGAGAGACATTATAAGGGTTTGTACAATATTGAAGGCATCTGGTTGTTGCCAGTGTCGGTAAAAGGATTATACTTGGGCGTTATGAATTGTTCTATGTAATTGCGGTGTTAAGGATGTCGTTAGGACTTTAGCAGGGATCTGATTTAGCTCATTAGCGAGGCGCTTGGAGTAGAGGAAGAAAGGGCAGAGGGAGAGGAAAAGGAGAGACAATGTTTGATGTATATCAAGATACCAGTTAATTGACATTATTCACCAACTTCGTGACGGACAGCTGACTTCGTGACGGCACCCAATTTGTATTACTTCGTGTTTTACCAACACATAATCTTCGATGCCACAAGGTTAGGTTTCTAATGGTTTTATTAGAGGGAATTTTTGAATTTTTACTGTTGTGTTCTTTGTCTAATTGGCACGGGAATCCTGATTTGATATGTTTTATTGGTTCATCTTCTCCAGAAATCCAGAGAAAAAATCCTCGTTTATTGACGTTTATTAAAGATATAATACTTCCATTACTGTCAACAAGCTTTTCACCTTGTAATGAGCATCCACTTTTGTAAAACAATTCGCCGCTTATAATGTTTACGGGAAGACTCTTAACATAAAAGACATTCTTTAATCTGAGCCTTCTCGCTTTATTTTTTGAATTTCTGACCTTGAGGCATACTTCGCCTATTTTCTCTGGATAAATAACTCCACTGCCTGTCCTTATTGCCACCTCCCGTGGTCTTGTGTTCCTTATAGACTCCTTGACAAAATTCTTTAGGTTGTTAGTGGCATTAATATCAGCCCCTGTATCAAACAGCCACCTCTTTTCCATAGCATGAGCTATCATCATTACTTGAGTGTGGCGTCTCTTCAATCTCTGGGTTGTTTACTATCCCATTTTCTTCCATCCACTCATTGTACCAATCATTACCAACATTATACTCGATCATCTTTTCTTTACCCTTCGTTGAAATTTGATTTAAAGGACGATCATGATCTGACTTTCGAGCCGGGCACTCTCTTGCATAGTGATTGCCCCTACAGATGTGACATCGATGAGGACCTTGAGTTGTTTCCCTCTTGCTATGGCAATTATTTGCATAATGACCAGTTTTTCCACAAATGTAACATACAACTTGGTTCTTACTCTCAGGGTTCTTGTCACCCTGATTTATTTTGGGTTTAAAGGCCAGCTTGTCTCTATTTACAATTTGACCTAGCCGAATACTGGCTTTATCTCCCCTTTTGTTGTCAAAGTTGTTGTTTACCCGAAAGTCTCTGTTGAGATGGTATTTGTTTGTGTTATGAAAAGCCTTGAGGCTGTGGCTGGAGATGAAATCGTTGATCAGTTCTTCCAACGACCATTGTTTGGTTTTTGAGGTATGTGAGGCCTCATAATGCCATCTGTGGGCCCTTTTCTCGACCGCACGTTTGAATATAAGTATTGTGATATTGTCAGCTAACTCCTGACCAGTTGATTTAAAGTCTCTAACGCAGATTCTAAATTTTGTCACGAAATCAATGGCGTTACCTCCGTCGTAAGCCAGCTCTATTAGGTCATTGAAAAAGTTTTCAGCCTGTATTGTGCCAGACTATTGATATGTCTTGTTGAGTAATTTCATCATATCCGACCCGCTGCTTAGATCTTCAATGATTCTTCTTGGGTTATCGGTCACTGATCTCCTGATCATTGATCCGAAATTTGCTTTATCTAGGTTTGTTAATTTGATCCCTTTAACATACCCTACCGACTGCAAAGCGAACATCACGTCATTTTTATAAACTCCCCAATCCTGGGAGCCGCGTAAGAAGTGGTCCTTGTGAGGCTTCCACTGTAATTGATCCCACCTGAGATTCATTTCTGCTGTGGTTACTTGTAACGTCCCTTGAGGAGGACTCCACCAATCGTAGTCGCTGTCGGACTGTTCGTTCCTTCTCGCCGAAGAACTAGACTCGTTATCAACATTCTTCCTTCTCACATTGGATCTCCTATTAGACCTTGACTCGTCCATCTTGTAATTTCTGGGCCTTGTCTTGCCCGAATTTCTTGCAACCGATTGATCGGACTCAAGATTGTTGTCTTTCTGTTGTGCAATAATGTCGCAATCAGCTTTAGACAGTTTTCCTGACATTTTCGTTGTGTGAAGAAAGTAAAGGAGTTCTTTTGATCGTAAAAAGATAATGCTACCATATAAAAATCCTTTCTCAAAAGGTGAAGTTTTATTACCCTAACTCGGTATATGGAAATCTAATACAAAAATTGGACACTCATTCCAAGTATAGAGTGTTCCCCCATAAATCAACCCATTTAGCCTCGCTCGCTTATTAGGGCTAACATAGGACATGCAAGGATTAAGGTTTACACAATTATTATTTCCCTTGCACTTTTACAGATAGAATATAAATTATGTTTTGGGCACACGTTAGCTAGAAGCTTATGTTCCGTCCTTTCATAAGGACTTGGAAAATACTATAGGATCTTTGCAGTTAAGAATACTCCAGACTTCAAGCTCAAGCCCTACAACCACAACAAATACAGCAGAAGGCCTCAGGTTGAATATTTCCAGGCAAGGACTGGTATTGGGAATACTCTGGCTTATCTCAAAAAAATTGGAAAATCAGAAAGTGATTAGTGTGACTTCTGTGAAGGAAGACAGAAAGTGCCACATCTAATCCTTCACTGTAAAAAATTCAAGGTTGAAAGAAGAAAACGTTTTGCAGGAATAACACCACTTAAACTATCACATCTTTTCAGAACATATATTGGGAAAATAGCAATACTTTGCTTTCTGGATTCAACTAAATGCCTAAGGGCATTCAGAAGACAAAACAGAGTAAAATTAAAACTATTTGAGAAAAAACATGGAGGAACTTTTTAGATATATTTTGTATGTTAGAACTGTATCATAGCCACATAGCTGAATACACTATGAATTAAAATAAATGAAAAAACTCCAATCACTTTGACACTTAAAAGGTTATTGATTTATTGCCCATAATGATCAGCCTTTCAGCTCTGTCAGAACAGTATCAGAACCCGGTGGAATTCGTATTCCTGAATTAATGTTTCGTGATTCATGTAAATTCCATTCTTTTAACATGATCGAAAAATTATTGTCAGAATAATATGCCAAGCTGGTACCTGAAATAATTTGTGATTGCCTCAGGAAAACCTTGGCGTTTTGGGTAATTTTCAGCTAGAAAATACTTGACGTCCGTGTAACAGACGTGGTGGACTGGTATTGAGTCGGTTTAGGATAACATCTTGGCTACAACATGTTTGGATTGTATCCTGTGATGTAAGGAAGCTATTTCTAGATATTATCATCATATGTCAGGTAGTAGATATGTGTAGATATATAAGCTGAGAGAAAGAGGAAGATAGACAGACAGACAATTACATCTTTTTATTTAACTTCAATTAAAAGCTCCTGTGCGAACTATTCTTCCAGATACCTCTAGTCTCAATCATTACAGCTTCCGAACCAGCTCAAAAGGTTCGACAAGCTCAGTGTTCACCCGTAGAATTCGGCTACCTTTTCCACGGAGCCCTCTACCCAAAAATATAAAAATGGTAACAATGGAAACTTTTTTTTTTAATCATTTGATGTGTATTCAGCTATCTAGCTATGACACATGATCGGTGCCATGTATACATGTGGGATGACTCTTTTGACATTAGAGACACTCATACTCTGGATTTCACTCGCAAATACCACTATGAGGTATGTTCGCTTACACAAACAGTCGATCCTCCTTCGTAAGTATCCACCAAAGGGAATTTCAAAAGCTTTGGTTATCCAAGCATGCCTTCGTCATCCATGCATATCAGCGCCGCGAGAAATGTGGTTGTGTTTTGCCGGATTTGAACCAGTAATCTACTGTCTCAAGTGGGATATGTTTCCAAGCTATCCAGACTCTACTTGGCAGACCGGCCAAGACAATGTACCACCGCATCATCCAACCATGGCAATGTTTATAGTGTCGCCTGCACTCTCGCAACCGAGGGCTTGGCACGCATAAAGCTCAATTTGTAAAAACTCCTTGCCAAAATTCAAAATTCCACGCCCGTCGAGACTGTATCCATCTGTCGCATCATCTTGTTAACTTGTCCTGAATCCTCTCACGTCCATCCCAAAGAGGTATCTCCCAGATTTGTGCTCCACGCTTTGCTTCCTCCGTCGGGTATAAATATCGGCGTGGGCGTGTATTTAGTGACTAGCTGAGGCCAGAGAACAGTCGACGAAAGGTTTGGTCATTGGTGTGAGGATTTACTAAGTCGTACTTGTAGACTTGATGAGGCTTAGGTAGGATTCGATCTTTTTTGGAATGAAAATTTGACGTGGTGGAGTTATTTGAATTACTGCCTCGTGGGCCAACTTGTTCGGTATTGCGAAATTTGACTGAACTTGGCTCTGGGAGAATATTTCACTCCCAGGTTCGTAGAGGACACCGCGTACAGGTGTTCAGTCTTGCCCTCCAACAATGGAACTTACGTGCGCGGGAAAAAGTCTCAAAAAACCTGCAGCCCCAGCCAGGCGAGGCCTAGACACTGGGACCATAACAGCTGCGCATATTCTCCTATATCTCCCTTGTAATATTAGAGGCCAACTTGATCCAATCTATCATCTCCATATCGGGTGCTGGGTACTTTCCGGAAACTCATCGGATGGCTTCTCCTCCATGATCAAGGGTTGGTGATGAGAAGGGCTTAGACCCTACCATCTGATCTGATCTGATCGTGGTTAGCTTTATGATGGTGGCGAAGGGGGGTTATGCTTAGAGATGAAGACGATATAGACGGCGAAAGCGATTGGGAATCCTCGTCGTAATGAGGACTGTGCTACTCAATCTCGGCTCTGCAGACTCTATTGTGAAAGCTGGAGGTTCGTAGGGGACACCACTGACAGTTATTGAGTTTGCACCCACAAAAAGATGATTGAGTTCTACGGGTAACTACTGAGCTTAATGGACACTTATCGTGGGCATAATATCAGAGATAATCTTATGTAACAAATGAGGATAAAAGCATTGTACAACATTTTGGCTAGGTCAGAAAGAGCCTTATGTGCTAGATAGACATTTAATCAAGAGCCACCATAAATATCAAAACGACGGGGAAGCCTTTAACTTGTGCCGCAGTCAAGTTTCTTCGAATATAAGTGAGAGCTCGGTGGGAATTTGAAATCTACAGGTTATTACTAATCTATAGTCGCATCGTAAGATACGGTCATGTCACCTGTTATTGCCTTTATCTTAAGACGCTTCTTCATCTATTCACTTTCAGGGACTCTGAAAAGCTAAGCTATTTTGTAAATTTGGAGTAACGAGATTATCTTTGTCGGAAATCTGCATCTCATTCATGCTCAATAATTTGATAAATCAAATTTTCTAGCAAATTTTCTCTTAAAATCTTAGAAACTAACTTCAATTATGTTAGTCCTGCATACGATAAATTCATAACAATCAATATTGTATTAAGTACCAGAAGAAGTAAGTTTACCAAATAGTGACAATATCCACCTTCTACTGAATTCCATCTCAAGGATATGGTTCAAAATAAACCAGGTTCACAAAAACTGAGCTATGCAGAAATCGTCAAAACTCCTAGGCATGCGAATTCAAATTCGTCCACGAAATCTGGCACCTCCGGTCCTCTTAATTTTTCCTCCTCTTGTTTCTCCTTTCCTCCTAGCGTAACCTTACTTCGAACTGAACTTTTTGAAGTTAGAAAAACATTGAATAAGGGTTACGGTGCGTTTGCCATCAGGGATATCGAAATAGGCACGGTGATTCTCATCGAAGAACCCTTGTTGAAAGCTGAAATTATGACTGTATACTATGAGTTTGAAAAGCTTAATCATATGCAGCGGATTCAATATTGTTCACTGGCTGGTCGGACAGGAGAAGGTTCAACAATTATTTCAATATTTGAAACAAATCGGTTAGCTCAGGCTTTTTCAAACTAAGTTTCTTAACGTTTACAAGTTAACAGCTTCCAAATAACCAAAACTGTTGGCGGAATTTTTTTCAAATCTTCTCGTTTCAATCACGCATGTCACCCATTCTCAGTCTGCACGTTTACGTACGATGAAAAAAAAGACGTACTAGTTACTACAGCAATCCAAAAAATTAAAAAGGGGCACGAGATTACCATTTCATATACAAATGATCCATCAACTCTCCCAGAATACTATGGCTTCAGTTGCGATTGCCTTCGCTGCACTACAGACTAAACAATCCTCTGGTTTGCTGTTGTTAGAACTAGGGACTCTCAAGGGCCAACAGTAATGATCTTAAAGGAAAACGGAGATTACTGTGAATAATGCATTTAAGCCGCCCGAGAAAGACTAAGTGGAATAAATTTCAAGGCTGTCCTATTGATGAGTTAGAGCTAGAATTGCAACTTTTTGTGTTGGTGTTGAACGTGATAGGCAATACCAGTCATTTGCGCTCCTTCAAAGATTTTAAAGAGTGGGTCCGAGCTACTTGTTTTTTTGGCTATTTACTGCCCTGTGTCAACCCACTACTACACAAGATGAACAGTGCCAATCTATCTTTCGGCCATGGATCTCCTGACTTATGTAATACGTCCTCCACAGGTCTCTCTGAAAACCTCCTTCTAACTTTACGTGAGACCGTTTGGAGTAAAGCTGTAGAACTGGCGTAGCCATGCATTACTCTAGTGTTAATTATGTAATCATGTGGATATAGCATCGTAATCTTCCTATATAGATAAAAAGAGACATCATTCACATATACCGACATTAGACCCCCTATGATTGGGTCCAATCTATTAACTTTAGTCACCTATTTCATAATTTTTCTCTGATATTGTGCATAGTTTTAAAAATCTACTTATTGGCATATTTTCGAAGCTGTTAAGCTGCAGAGGTTGATTTCGACGAAGACAAATTATCGAAGGTTCGAAGTTACGATGGTGCGTATTGATTACGAAGAGACAAATAAGGTAATCGAGGCCCGGATTTTCAAAGGGTACGAGTTCATATGTTCAATTTATCATATTATCAAAATAGCGAGTTCCCAATCAGCAAATTGTATGAAGGAAATAATGACCCCTCAGTCATTGAGGTTGTAGAGAGCATTCATTCAACTAACTACCGAAGTGAAACTAAGTACAGGAGGGCAAGACTGAACACCTGTACGCGGTGTCCTCTACGAACCTGGGAGTGAAATATTCTCCCAGAGCCAAGTTCAGTCAAATTTCGCAAAATCAAAGAAGTTGGCCCAAGAGGCAATGATTCAAGTTACTCCACTACGTCGTTTTTTCACTCCTAACGAGTTTGACTCCTACCTAAGTCTTATCAAGTCTACAAGTACGACCTAGTACATCCTCATCCCAATGACCGCACCTCTCTTCGACCTTCTCTGGTCTCAGTTGACCACCAAATACACGCCCACGCCGATATTTATACCCGACGGAGGAAGCAAAGCATGGAGCACAAATCTGGGAGATACCTCTTTGGGATGGACGTGAGAGGATTCAGGACAAGTTAACAAAATGATGCGAAGGATGGATTCAGTCTCGACGGGCGTGGAAATTTGAATTCTGGCAAGGAGTTTTTACAAATTGAGCTTTGTGCGTGCCAAGCCTTCGGTTGCGAGAGTGCAGCTAACACTATAAACACAAGCAAACGATGGAAGTTGCCGTGGTCCGCCTCCTTGTGGATCCCGGATAGATCTACAGGGCACGAATTAGCTAGATGTAGGAAACACGGCACACACACGTAATCGTAATTATCCTATGACCTCACGCGCAGCAAATCGCACTGTCAGAGCCCGCGGTCACAGCCCGCGACCACAGCAGTAGATCTACTAGCGTTGAGGAGTAAGGAGTAATCAATGTATATAGACACATAGACATCCGACACTTAAAGGATATAGAATTCACGTATTAGTCTCAAGCTCTACACAAGATCCGTTGTAGTTGGGAGCCACGAGTTACACGTGATATCACCCCAATCTTACACCCACACCCATTGTATACTAAGTATACAACGCGCGCTCGGAACCTCATCCTGGTGGTGTTCTCCGGTAAAGTCTGAGTAGCCTGGGCACCGACTCCACTTAGGAAGGAGATACCTATGACCACATTTTGCGCGGAGAAAACTCAGCCGATGATGAAGGCATGTCTGGATAACTCAGGGTTTTTAAGACGTTTCCCTGGGTGGGTATTCACGGATGAGGGTTTACTTGGGGTGAAGAAAAAGCCTCCATAACTTCGCAGTGGTACTCGCAAATGAAATCCGAGGCATGAGTGCTCTTCTTATATATTGAGTCATCTTTTCTGTACTTTTCTTTGATATTGTGTCATAGCTAGAAGGCTGCATACGCAATTAAAATCTGATGCAAAAAAAGAAGATTAAATAAATACTTAATTAAGAATGAAACAGAGAATCCTTACAGGCCCGAAGGCGAACTTGAAAACAAATGAAAGTCAAAAGATTTTGATTCGGACCTTCAACTTGTGAACCTTTCTGTTCAAGCTGACAAGTAAGAAAACTTTAATCTCAAGGGGAAAGGACTCGATAAATATAATCAAGAAAAACTCATAATAGGAAATAATAACCGAAAATTTTTCGATAAGAGTAATGATTCATATCTTCCTTCCAATAATTCAGGAGGCTGGGCAAGAGTGATTTTAGATATGAAGAAAAGTTACGATAGTAGTAAAAGAAAAATGGAAATGAGTGTGACCCCCTTGACTTAAAACTCAGAATCTTTGAGTAAAGGTACAATATCATGGGCATCCACCCTACACAAAATCAAAAAGTTCTCGGAGTTATGCTTTTGGGAAAAGCGAGTGAATTTGGTTATAGTAATCACGCTCCAAATCAATCATCAATCTCCCTTCGAACATTAACTTACGAAGAGGTGACACAAATGTTGAAGGATCATTTTCAATCAGATGAGCGCCTTCAAATTGCCTTGTGGAATATGAAAAGAAAAACTTCTTTGTTACACAAATAGAGAGCCCTGGTAAGATCAAATGAGAAGTCCTTGAACTATAGTTCACTCGTCTTCAAAAACTTGCCCAGTGTTTTGGCGACGGTTACTACAACAAAGACAGCGTCATGAGAAACAAATTACTGAACGTCTCCACAGACGTTCTTGGGTGTAACCTAGCTATTTTCAAACCAGCATAATCTTTTGAAGGCTTATGTGCTGATCTAAGATCTCCCATCAGTATAGCAATTAGACCTCTTTTTTTTTTTTTTGCATCAGATTTTAATTGCGTATGCAGCTATCTAGCTATGACACAATATCAGAGAACAGTACAGAAAAGATGACTCAGTTTAAAATAGGAGCACTCATGCCTCGGATTTCATTTGCAAGTACCACTGCGAAGTTATGGTGGCTTTTTCTTCACCCCAAGTCAACCCTCATCCGTGAATACCCACCCAGGGGAACGTCTCAAAAACCCTGAGTTATCCAGACATGCCTCCGTCATCCATCAACTTTTCTCCGCGCGATATGTGATCTGAGGTGTCTCCTTGACCTGTAGCGTTTACATTGCTTTCTAGCGTTGTATACTAGCTATTTTAATACCTGTACCCTACACATCAATTAACTTATATTACATTCTATATACGTCCTTTAAGATGATCAATTTTAGACTGGCAGAGTATATGCAAGACAAGGTAAGAGTATCGGTCGTGGGAAGAATTCGCAAAAATTACCTGCTGAACCTTTACAAGCGCGATTCTACCATCCTAACTAACGGCTATATTTCCCATTTCTTCGACGATCAAATGGCACAAATAAATGCTACATCTGTAAGAAAGTAGGTTGCCGGTCTTGTAACGGTTATGAGCTATGCGGAAGTCATATTGCGGAGTGATGAGGAGTGGATGATGTTATATTTAGTAGGTGACAGTGAATAGACTCATACAATATTATGCTGTAGGTATATGGACAGAAAGTATAAGACTAAACCTGTATCCATTTGTTGTGGGTACATCTGAATTTGATTTCATTATCCTGATTTGGCGCCCTATGGGCCTATGCAGGTGTCTACAGTCTATAATATTTACCCGGGAGGAAACCTTTATGGTGAAAACCTCCCAGATCTTTCTATTTGTTGTCTATAGTTCTCAAAAATTTTCTTCAGGAAGCGCAGTTACACTATAGTGCCATCCATGTAAACCAACCAGATCATCTCTATCCGCCCCAAGCATTATTTGACCTTTTCCTTTCCCTCAGCAGTATTTCGACCGCTTTTGTGTTGTGCTGGTGATGCCTAGGATTACGATGCACAAGGGTAATGATCACTGAGGGTGAAGGAAGAACTTTCCAGGTGGCTCCATGATGAGTAGAGGATCAATGGAGCACTGTATAGAAAGTGTTTCTAGATTGTACTGCCAGATGGAGGAGACAAGAATATTCCGTGATACTATTTTGGGTAAATGAGGCAAGAGTCTAGCTACCTCAGATGTGTATATAATTAGCGCTCTCTACCTCCTAAATCCTCATAGTTCTGAATATCAAATATATCAGCAGTTCACATTGATTCATCGATAATCATACGTAAACCTTCTGCCAATTAACCTCCGTAAACTCTTACCTTTACAACATTTTGTCATCTGGAATTGCTCTATCCAACTATGGTTTAGGATCCACTGTATTATCCTTTTTATATCTCCAGGATTGTTTATCATCGCTTCGTAGGATCGATCTTTGGCTTGTCTCTAGATTCCAGCTCTACCATTTGACCATCGGGGGCAGGACATAATCATATGCTTTGGGTTCTGTGATTGGTAGCCGCATGGAAAACCTAGACTTAGTACTCCGGATACTTTTCTTCTGTGTGAATACGAATTAAGCTCCATGTGATGTGGGTACATCTATTAAACTATATACATGCTCGCCTAACCAGTGCACTAGTGACATATGCTGTGGCCTTGAGCCACACGCGATGCCCTAGTCTCGACTGCTTCGGTGCCTCATATCACAACAGGTCTACCAACCATTCGGACGAGGAAAGAAGGCAGTCAAACAACAAATTTAGGCAGCATGTCCAACAGACTCAAAATCGCCGTTATTCAAAGGAAGAGTGTCAAAATTTCCCGGCACGTTGGGAAGGAGTATCTGGATTTGATATCGATTTTGAAGAAGCCGAGCAGCTACTAATGGAGATGCAGCTTGAATATGGCAATAATCTTGAGTCCGATACAAAAACTGGTGAGGCTTTTTTATCAGAGTTAAACAGCAATCA